ATCACAAAGTCTGCAGAAAAAAAAACAGATGAACATTTGGAAACCAGCATTGTGCTGAAACCCTCTCTCTTACACAAAAATCATGAAATGAGAATATTAATGGTATATATGGTTGGGAGTCACATTAGGAATGTCCAGGGATGAGTATGAAAAGAAAGAAACAGAGAAAGACCCGAGTTCTATTTTGACCTCTGTAACTAGCCTTGGTAAACCTGAAAACAAATCTTTTTGCTTCACCATAACACACCACAGTGAGATTCACTGAGGCACTCACTCAAACAACGATTTCCCATTCTACTCCTTTAGACTCCCAGTCCTGTTGGAACAAAAACGTGTCGGTCCAGGTGAGTTCTCAGTCATCTAAATGAACAGTTAACTGAACTAAGCACAGGATTAATTTTATGTATTAAGTTGTGTTCAGTTTTTAAACGTTGGTGTTTTGCTTTTAAGTATTGCATTTTAATAGTATGCCAACTAATATCACAAGAGAGAAAATTCTCTCAGGCACGAGGCTCCTTAATTTTTCTTCAGGAAATTCCAATTCCAATTCCAAAAATAAAAGGAGAAAGAATGCTCACATGGAATTCCAGCCTCTCTCCCAAGTGTATCTCATCCTCAGGAGAGTATAAACCGGCAACAGAAGAAAGAGACCAAGACTTAACAGGGTATGGTCAGGTGTCAAAACCAATTCTTTCTAGCACTTAGTGAAAGAGAACCCTGGAGAAAGGGAGGAAGTCTCAAGATCAGCATTTCTTTAGAAAACTAAGAAGAATTCCCACTGGAGATTTGTCAAACTTTACTCCTTTACTCAGACGGAGAGATTGGCTTTTGCCAAATGGCAAAGACGCTAAGAGCTGACCCTAGCCAGGTGGTTACATTATCCCCGACAAGTAAACAAGGATGCCACATAGTGGACTATACAAGTCCTAGGCATGCCTGGAGGATTAAAACAAGCGTACAATGGAGAATGTGGTAAAGGTCCGACTTCAAATTGTGGTTGCTCAGCAACGAAGCAATAAAGCCTACAGTATGTAAGGGCTCAAGAAAATTTCCAGAACTAAGCCCTGTACTACCATAAAGAGCTATAGGCAAGATAGAGCCTCAGCAGCACAAATAAGCAAAATGGTAATCATAAAGCAGCAAGGACTTCATTCTGGATAACCAGAGGTACAAGAAACCACTTGTGACAAAAACTCCCCCCATCTGGATCCCCGTCTACTATACTCACTGACCGCTGGAAAACATTTTCCCTTCTTGGCACCATCTCTGAAGTCAGTGAGATAGGAGTATGGGCAGACAGAACATTATAGTGCAAGAGACATACTGTATATCATATTAGTCTGAAGGGTTAGGGTTTTGAGAAGCCCTCCAGACAAAGAAATATTTTTCTCAGAATTGTTTTCACCAGGATCAATTAGCGAACCCCACTGTGTGGCTTGCCTGGCCCCAAAGATACAACCAAAAATGAGGTATTATGCAGAACAAATGGTAAACTCTTGTGTTATTCCCTATAAAGAACAATTTGCTCAGCAGCAGGAGACATACCACAGGAAAAGATAACTGGAACAGCTACTAGTACCACAAAAGTGCAAAAAGTAGGTGAAGTGGCATACCAATGTGACCCTCTCATTTATTTGTAGGATATCTCAAAGTGCCTGATCCTTACAGATCAAGGCAATCTCAGTCTCACCACTAGTACATGAGTTAGTAGTACTTTTTCGAGACTATCACCTCAACATACATATTATCCTCAAACAGACACCTTCATTGAATGATCCGACCACACTGTTAAACAGATTTTGAGGCATGTCACTATAAAAAGAAGGACAAGAGCAAGACCTGCTGTTGTCTGCAATGACGTTCAATGGGATTCTCCTCCTCTGAGTTACTGTGTGGGATACATCCAGAAATCACTGGGTCTGGTGTCTAGCTCTCAGTCCTGACTCTCTGTGGTCATTAAAAATCCCAGGGTGTTTCTTGAAAAGAGTAGTGGTGTAACCCTGGCGTCCTGGCCAAATCTCCCATGCCTTCTTATAATCCTTCTCCATGATTTGGCTACATTACTTTGTTCTCCTCCCCCCCGCCTCCGACGGCAGGCGGAGCGATGTGCCGGTTGGAGTATTCCCGGTCGCATTTATTGGCAACGTCAGCTCAAAGATTTGGTTCAAACCACCAAATGGAGACAAGCAGACCCTGCTGATGCAGGATTAATGCTAGGATGAGAGAGAGGGTATCTAGCTCTCAAACATCCTCTTCCATAATTTACAGAAACATATTGCTCAAGTCACCCCTCTATGCGAGAGAGCACATGGACAAGACTCAATGAGGACAAAAAGCTCAATATGGTAATATGGCAACCTCAAAAGATAATAATGCATACCCAAACACAAGCCATGTGTATCATGTCATTAGTCAACTGGAACTAGGATGGACCAGTGGCAGTGTACAATTGGCAGAGTGCAGCCTTTCATATGGTCGGAATCGTCAGTCAGGGTTCACTCAGTCAGCAACAACTATGGCTTCCTAAGCACTTGCAGGCTATCAGTGCTGTCAATGAAGACTTTAACCCGGTATGGCACCTCTTAACTGGGTGGCGTGAGCTAGGAGAGAGTACAGTATGTAGCATGTAGGCAAAAAAAAATGACAGCAATACTAACCATCACCACAAGAGGGCACAAATGGACTCCAAGTAGTTAAGCTCCTTCCTTGATTTCTCTCCAGGGAATTCCACATGAGCATATAGGGAGAGAGTGCTTATTTAGAATTCCAGTCACTCTTCCAAGTGCTCCTCATCCAAAGAGCGGATGTCTCAAGGCAGGCATTGCTTAAAAAAAGCTAAGTCCCATGAGATATCCAGCATCCATTCAGAGATGATGTTCTACGTCAGGCAGCAGAGCTAAGTGCTGACCTTAGCCTGGCAGTCGGACTATCCTGACACGCGACCAAAAACAAGTCCAAACTATCACACAATTTAAACCCTCTAACTTTCCAGTAGATCAAAACCATCAAAAGGGTCCAATTAAACAACTTATTAGTTCAGAGTTCAAACTTATGTTTAATATAAATACTACCATGTGTGGATTTTCTCTAGTTCTTCTCAGAACAGGGAAGCTTTGACTCAGATTGAACCTTCTAGTCTCAAAGCAAGGTCTCATACAAACCCAAACACCCAATTTGCAAAGCCAACAACCGCGATACCAAAACACTGGTCTCTGCCCTTGGGTAGATTAATTACTCTTGAGAGTTCTACATAATTAGCAAAGAGTTAATTACAGCAGTGTAATTAACTCTTTGCTGAATTAAAGGGGAAAAAAACCCCAGCAAATTCAGTTCCAAATAAGCTAAGCCTAAAGTGAAGAGATTCTGGAAGGATTCTATCAATTACAGTATGAACCAATTACTTTCTGCACAGTTTTCAAGTAACACAAGAGGAATCGGTGCACAGGAGTGGAAGAGATGTCTAATGTTTCAATATAAATATGCTTTCATGGTCTTCCAGTAAAAGGTTGACAGAACTTTATGAAACAAACATCCCTTTTCCAGGAAGATACAAATAACTAGTCATAACAGAGTAGAAGGTGAGACTTTCAAAGCTTAGAACGTCATAGATTTAAGTGGATGCATTCCATTGTTTGCAGCAACTGGCCTGAAGTGAAAGGGGAAGTACATTGAGAAAGAATGAACAACAATGGCAGCAGGCAGTAACAAGAGAAATCCTGCCAGTGGTTGGTCCTTCTTATTGTGTTCCGAAGTCGTCTTGGTTTTTTTTTTTTCTTACCCTGCTTGTACCACTTCTAACAACAAGAAGGCATCAGGATAGCCTAACAAAATAGCCCCCAAAAAATCCAAATAAAATAAAACCATTGGCAAGAAAGAAAGCCGGAGTTCAGCTAAATCACATGATGCAACTTTCTTTCAAAAGTGTTCTAACTGCACGCTGTGGTCAGATATAATTGAAACCTAAACCTCAAACATCCTTTAACACTAAAATGTGTACTCTGGTAGAAGCAGAGTAAGCTGTAATAAAAACAGAATAAATAGCAGGAAAGCCAATTTTGCAACAATTGTAAAGAAGACGAAGGTATAGAATGGCTGTGACAATGCTTTTCAAAGTGGTATAAGTATAGCATAACCATGGGAAAGCAACAATAACAATCTTCAAACTTTCTGCATTCTGCAGGACTTCCTAGTGTCACACAGCAGCTCCTAAGAGCAGAAGAAAGGCTGCACATCAGCATTGACCCATACAGCTCATCTGGTTTCCAGTGGCTAATTGATAATTGGATCTCATCCAGGCTTTTCTTTAAATAAGACAGGGTGTCAGCTTCAACAACATGGACAGGTACAGTAGCTTGCTCCAGATTCTCACCAGCCTTTGTAATCAAACACAAAATCTTCGTTTATAGAGAACCTGATCTAAAACAGAAGTGATCTCTGACCTTTACTGGAGAAAGTTACTTTAAAAAAATAATCCATTACAGTAAAAAGTTGCTTGTGTGAAGGGTTATTTTGTTAAATTAATAAGATATCAGGGAAATTTGCTTTTAAACTGTAGTTAATTTACATAGTATATACTGTACATTATACAACTATATGCATTATATACGGTAGATCACTATAACTGATAACGGTTTAAAATTCTTTTGCCCTAACCTCTTGTTAGTTTTAAATTGAAATCCTTCACACAAATAACCAGTTACTTTAATTGATTATAAAAAAAAAAACTTCCCCAAACAGTCTCTGGCTATGAGTCTTAAAGATGAGCATAACACAAGATGAGAAATGTGAAACTGTCTATTGTCAACTGAAACTTAATATGTACCATATCTGTGGCATTTATATGTTTTTCAATCTGTACCTGCATAATGCTTACAACACTGAACTGGGACACGTGTCTATAGCAATACTACCCGTCATTCACTAGAAGAGTTGAGCTCAGGTGACAGAATGCTAGAGCTCACCTGCCGCAGGTACTGTAAACAATGGTGAGCATTCCTTACCTTTCCGTCAATCCTGGCTGTGCTCCCCAAGGCAACACGCACATTCCGGGGAGGAAGGGTAAAGGCTGGTGGCTCAGTGGGCAGGGCACTGTTACTGAGAGGGGCTCTTCCCAGGGTTAGGCTGGCCTTTGAGATTCGAGTCGTCGTCACAATCTGAACGTCCCCCATGGTTCACTTGACATAAAAAAAATGAATAAGTAAAGGTTAACAGCAATATATTCAAGTCTAAAGAAAGGCATTGCTCAATGGACACCAAAATGTCACTCTTCTCTTGTCTGTTGTGAGATTTGCGCAGGGCTCAGTGCTTTAAAAACATTTAATACCTCACAATTAAGGACAGAAGAAAGGTTACAAATGAGATGAAGCGATTCCTCCCCTCTAATCTGTTTATTAGACGGTAGGTTTTTGATCTAAGGATCTCATCCAGCTGTTTTTTGGAAGAAACCAGTATATTGGCTACAACAACATCGTTGGGTAGTTTGTTCCACACTCCCGTACAGAACAACCCTAAATATAAAACCAAATTTAAAATACTTGCCTGAAAAAATACTGTCCATTTAATGTGTCCATAAAGGACCACAGCATTAATGCACTAATTATAACACTATGCTGACAACTGCAGTCTTCATTTTAAATAAAGCTTGTGATGTTTCCTTCTTTTGTCCTAGCTGTACTTCATCACAATACATGGCAGGAATATCAGACACCACACTCCTCCCAAAGCAGCAAAGAGAACTATAAAAAAGGTCATTCACATAAGAGAGAATCCACATCTAATTTCTTAGCTTATCTGTACTAACATCTAGATCTCCCAATCTAAGAGCATCGGTTTTTGAAAACCAAGTATTTTTTCACATTATGGTTTGTTGGCTTGTTGTTTTCAAGTTATAACAACTTGAAGGCAAGCTGGAAATGAATAAAAGTTTTAAAAAAAATCTTAGAATGGAATATTACTTTCCTCTTATGAAGGAAACTGCTGCCAAGTTTGTAATTTCAGTGTTGGCTACCAAAGACAATTTTCTATTCCCCTTGCTTCTGAATTGCATTATGGTGACTTCCCACCAAAGAAGTTTTAGTTTCTTCAAAACGTCATTCAAGAAAACCAAAATTTTGTACTTTGAAACCGCTATCATTACCTAACGTTTCTATGCCATTTACAGTGATTTGATGATCCACATGGTTAATGAATTGTAGTCTGTTCTGATCCCTTTCTAATACAAAAATTTTGCATTAAATTTATTATTTAATATACAATCAATCATATGCGAGTATGGGAAACAGGACTCTTCTGAAAAAACACGAGTACCACTGCACAGCTGCAAGATCTGACTTACAGATGTTTGTACAGTTCAAAAGGGCATGGTAGACTTCAGTAGAACAGCCTTCTCCCCTCTCACCAAAAAATGTAAAAGGAAGGAAACCTCATTCATCACAGTTGTTTGTGCGTGCTATTAAATCAGGCAAAATCAAACATATTAAACTGTGAAGTCAAGTGCTATCTTGGATACAATTATTTATTACAATTTTATTATAATAAAATGTATTATTAAATTTAAATTATTTTTCTTCAACTCTTCAAAATGAATGCAGAATGCACAAACTGTATGAAAACCACTATTAAATAATACACAGCTACCTCTTTTGGTGAAAACAAATCTGCAAGGGTTCCAGTAGATATTTTAAACTTTAATTTTTTCCTATTGTGTTTTTCTCGTTCATTTATATTCATATTTTCCTAATTGATCCTGCAGAGGGGAGAGAACCCTTCTGGAATGTGTATTTTATAGCAAGCTTTTAAGCATATCTTGAAATTGTACAGATGAAGTCCAAAAACAAACGTTTAGTTTCAAAAAAGCAGAATAAAAAGGAATGAGACAACACTTAGAATGGGATAGGATGAATATGGAATCATAAAGGATGGCATCAGTATGAAGACATTCTGTCTGAAGCACAGAACAGAACTACCCTATGAGGAAGTAAATTAAAATTAAAGCACTGGCCTCAAAGGTTTAAAGAAGCAATTAAGAAGCATATATTATACATGGGAAAAAAAAGCTCTTTATAAAATAATTAAAATATACAAATCCAGTTAAATAAAATTAGCATAATGAACTATAAGCACAAGTAAAATGATAATAGACTGTCAGGAAATTTGTAGAGAATCAGTCTAGTGATACAGACAGAGTTCAAAGCAATATCTTATATAGACATATTAGAATTAATTTTAGTCTTAAACACAGAAGAGTAAGTATTCAAAATCTTTAAAATCACTGACAATGTCGATTAAAATGTTTAAACAATTTTAGTCTTTTCTGAATTCTTTCTAATAAGAAAAAAATGCATTTAAGTTTTATAAAATGTAATATTTAATATTCAATCAATCATATAGTATGTGAACATGGGAAATAGGACTCTTCTGAAGAAGTACTGTACAACTACAATATCTGACTTAAAGAGGTTTGCTCACTTCAAGAGAGTCTCAATGGACTTTTTCAGAATAGGTAGTGAAACAAAAACCAGAGGACACAAATGGACCTGAGCTCAAGAAGTTTGTTTAAACTAAAAACATAAAAAACAAAATACCTTTTTACTTTGTGTTATGATAGTCTGGAATAAACTTACACATATCGTGGAAACTGATACTCTGCTTCTCTTGAAAATTGCTGGATTAAATGCTCTGATCAATAAGATACCAATAGCTACTAATACCAAATAAGAATTACTGAATATTTTCCCTGGTTTTCAAACTTGCTTATGTTCTTATTTTACATGATAACATTGAGAAAAATATTACATTTTATTAAGAAATAAAATATATGTTGGAGTTGTTCTTCCTTAATAACAGATCTAATACAATCTAAAGATATACACAACATCTTTTTGGGATTTGAAAAATGTGTAAACAGTTAATAGCTAATATAGATTTTCTAAATTCAGCAATAGAATTTTAACCATGTTAGACTGAATTAACTATTTGATTATAATGCTGACAAAAAAAGGACAAAAAGGTGTACGTATATCTTCTAACCTGCAATTTCCATCTGCATACAGGTATGTGCATATTCTTCATAAAACATAATATGCTTTAGTGAAAGAAACAGTAATTTAGAACTGTAAAGAATCATTTCATAATGTGTACTGAAAGTGGTGCTTTCTCATTTCTATGCCATGCTCTTTGTTTTTTTATTTATCTCTTCACAGTCACTTATTCACTGATCTCAATGTTCAGAAAGAAGGGACAATGCTGAACTTTAAAACAATGAATCATTACTCTTCACTGGTCCAAGTCACACTAAAAAAAAAAAATAAAAAATAAAACTGTTGTGGCTCTGTTCCTTGTGAAGCAGGTCAATGAGCACGTACTGTAGATGAACGCTTCCTTATTTATTTGGACATAACAGTCATAACAATGTCCTTCCTCTAGTCAAAGTGGATTTCAACAAGTCTAGAAGTTTTCCCCAATCCCAAATTATTGCTGTCACCCATCTTTCAAAGTTCAGCTATTTAACCTGCACTGCAGGTCACTGACAGCAGATACCACAGCCACTGTTTGAAAAGACTGTTTGGGGGAGAAAAAAAAATGATTTTGTTTATAAGAGACTGATTAGGACACATGCATTTAATTTGTTTGGCCTCACCCTTTATTTGTGTTTCAGTAGCCGAGGTTATGTAGAACACAGCTAGATAAGCATTTCTTACGTGCAAACACTAATTATGTTTATGAGACTGCACTGAACAGTGTCTTTTCAGGTTAGAGAAGAAACGAACAGCCTGATTCTCAACAAAATTAAGGGAACATGAGTACAGCCATGTGGCAATACAGAGGCCAACATTATTAGATTAATGCAACACAGCCATTAGTCAAAGATGAAAAAAATTACATGCAATATATTTAGATTAATTGCATTTCTATATCTTATATCTTGCCACACATACTTTCAGCATCGTTATGCATTAGAAGCCTCACTGTACATCATAGCAGGTGGGGAAAAAAAATAAATTACTTCACCAATGAATTCAGGGGAAACTTTGGGTCAAAGCCAGACTGTGCAAACCCAAGGTGAAATTTAGCCAAGACATCAGGGTAACATCCCTTCTCTTATGAAAAGTGCCATGGGATCTTTAATAATCATTTAGTCAGAACCTCCGTTTAATGTCTCGTCTGAAGGATGGAAGCTCATACAACACAGTGTCAACAGGTCACCATGCTGGGGCACTGGTTGGATATTTTGGTTCAGTGAGAACCACCTATTAGTCTGTCAAGACTACTTACAGCAGCAACCTGGTTATCCTTTAATAGTCTTTGATCCCAATACCGAGTAGGCTTACTCTGCTTTTTGAGAGTTATGATAAGTCTGGAAGGTGGCAACACTGCTGTTCATTATTTATGGTATATAAAGGATTTTATCTAAAAATTTAGATTACGGACAAGAGTACAATTTTATCATTTATAATGCACTACAAAATAATGAAGAACTGGTAGAACAATGAGAGATATTTTTATACTAGTCAGTTTCAGGAAAGGCTTCCAGTTCCCTGCTGTCTTCCATGGTCTTATCCATGCGTTTCCTGCTCACTGATTATGATTATGTGCTAAACAGAAGATGACCTTGGGAACAGTCAATAATGACTACTGATTTATCTGTTTTAGGCATCTTAAGCAAAACCATTGCTTATACCAAATGCACTGATATTCTGTATGACCTGTGAGAATCTAGATGAGATAAACCCACAGGTGGTTTTTGGGACATACTGTAATATACGTAATCTCACTATGCATTCATTATTTCTGTAACATTATGAGTTACAGAGGTAACCATTTTGTACAACACCATATTTTTATTAATTACTAAACAGTAAACGAGGAATTAAAAGTAAAGGAGATACGGCAATAAGTGTTGAGTAAATAATTAATGTGTTCAATTTATTGGACTTTCAATAAATGGTAGGGTGGTGAGTAGCACGTTATATCATTATATTTAAAAAATGGATTATCACACATGGATTTCTTTCAGCTTTCCTTACCTATTGTTACATGGATTAAATAAACGTGAACATTTTAAAATTGTCCACAATGCTGACTGTAGACAACTGACTAGACCCAGTTTAAAACTGTAAAGAGTGTGGATTGTAGACATTTTTACAGTGTTTTGAGAAGAACACTGGTTATCTTA